TGAAAAAGAGATGTAGCACTGAGCGTCATTTTATACTGATGGTACCTTAGAAGGTTATTCTGGATAACCTTCCCCAATGGTTTCATGTAGATGTTTAATAGCTTAGGCAATAAAATAATAAAATCATAGAATAGTAAAGTTGGAAGGGGCCAGAAAGCCATCATGTCCAACCCCTTGCTCAGTGTAGGTCACCATCCCTCTCAGATATCTGTCAGGTGCATCTAGAATACCTCTGGTATGAGAGAACCCACAATCTCCCTAGGCAATTGGTACCATTGTCATACTGCTCTAACATTAAGGATTTTTTTTTTTCATGAAGTCTAACAGGAATCTGGTTTCCAACAGCTTGGGCCAGATTATTATTCTGTGTCCTGCAGTCTAGGATAGTAAAAAGAGATCCTGTCCTTTCTGTTTGTGACAGCCTTTCAAGGACTTGTAGAGTACTATCGTATCACCCTCAGTCTTCTCTTCTTAAGGCTAACTAAACTTGCCCAGTTCTTTCCATCTTTACTCATAGAACTTTGTTTCCAGGCCCTGAATCATCCTTGTTGCACTTCTCTAAACCTTTTCCAGCTTGTCTGCATCTTCCTTAAAGTGTGTAGTGCCCAGAATTGCACACTACTCCAGATGAGGCCCAGCCCGTGTTGAATAAAGGGGAACTAGCACTCCACATGATTTGGAAGTGATACTTCTATTAATGAAGCCCATTTAATAGCCAAATCACATTGGTGACTGATATTCAGCTTGTGATCTACAACAATTCCAAGACCTTCCCACTTGCTTGAATGTTGATCCAAGTATTCCCCTTCTTGTAACAAAGAATTTGGTTTCTTCTTCTTTGGTGCAAAACTTGGCATTTGCCCCAACTGAATTTCATTCTGTTGTTTTCATGCCAGTGCTCGAACCTATCAAGATAATCTTGAATCTTTTTTCTGTCTTCCAGGATATTAGCTGTCCCACTCAGTTTTGTGTCATCTGCAGATCTGATCATTGTTCCCTGCACTTCTTCATTCAAGTCATAAATGAAGATGTTGAAGAGCACTAGTTCAGAACTGAACCTCATTTGTTATCTCTCTCCAGTCTAAGAAGATGCCATTGTTGAGCTCTCACTGAATACAATTCTATAGATCCACCTGCTAGTTGTTTCACCTAGCCCACTTTTAGCTAGTTTGCTAATCGGGATATCACGGGGCACTTTGTCAAAACCTTTGCTGAAGTCAAGATAGATTATGTCCTCAGCATTCCCACAGTCTACCAGGGAGGTTACCCAATAAAAAACAAATCAGTTTAGGCAGACAGGATTTTTTCTTGAGAAATCCATATTGGCTTCTGACCATCAATGCATTGTTTTCAAAGTATTTGCAGATTGACTGCTTGATACTCTGTTCCAGAATTTTCCCAGTGATTGATGTCAGACTGATGGGTCTGTAGTTCCCAAGTTCTTCTTCTCCCCTCCCACTTTCTTGAAGATGGGGACAACATTAGCTGTTCTCCAGTCATCTGGCACTTCCCCTGTCCTCCCTGATTTCTCTAAGACTACAGACTGTGGTTCTGTGATCTTTTCCACCAGCTCCTTTATAATTCTGGGATGGAGTTCCTTGGGCTCTGGAGGTCTGAACTCATTCAACCCAATTATATGATCCTTGAGCATTTGCCTATCAGACTTGAGCTGCCATCCTGCTTCATCAGCTTGTACTCCTCTTCATCAGGAAGGTCATAACTCTTTTTTGGGAGAAGACTGAGTCAAAGTAGGAGTTGAGCACTTCTGCTTTTTCTCTGTCATCTGTTCTCATATTACCATCCACATTGTCTAGTTGAACCAGCATTTCTTTCCTCTGTCTTTTACTCTGGATATACCTGGAGAAGGAAGGAAGGAAGGAAGGAAGGAAGGAAGGAAGGAAGGAAGGAAGGAAAGAAATCAAATGTCCTTTTGTATTTCAGATCTTCTTTCAGCTTTTTGTGAAGCCACATGGCTTCTTCTGTTGTCTTCTATCCTTTTTCTCGTAATTGTTTTTAATTGTGCCTTTAGAATTTACTTAAAAAAAAATTCTCACACTTCTTGGTCTCCTTTACTCTTTAGAATCACTTGCAGTGGGACTTTCTTGAAATCCAGGGTGCATGAATAGTTACATTTTTCTTTTGCTTCCTTTAGAATCAAGAATTAAAGCATAGCATGCTCACTTTCTGCCGAAGTTGCTGCGGCTGCCATTTTCCCCACTAGTTGTTCCCCGTTGGTTAGTTTCAAGCCAAGGATAGCTGTTCCGATTGTTCCTTCTTCCACTCTCAGTTGGCGAAGGCTATCAGCAACACATAAGAATCTCTTGGAGGGGCATTTGTCTCCCAATGGATACCAGGAAAATTGAAGTCTCCCATAATGATACCATGCCTCCTTGAAACACTGGTAATTTGCTTTTCAAAAGTTTTATCCTTGTCTTCTTGACTTCAACTGCTGTGGTTTTTTTATCTCTTGCTCCATTCTTATTAATCCAGATGAAGTTGATAGGGCTACTAAGCACATCTTCCTGCATTTCTGTGCAGAGATATGTATCTTTTAACATATAGCATGACTCCTCCTCCCTTTCTGTTCCTTCTGTTCTTCTCTTTTGGCTCTTGGCAGAGCAGAGGCTGAGAGAGGGTGCAGAGGGTGTTCAGGGAACTGGCAAAGGCAAGGTGGGAGCTGGGCAGAGGATGTGCGGGGGGAGGAACAGTGGAAAGGAAGGGAGGTGGGGCCAGAGAGGCCCAGGAGGAAGCAGAGGGAGTGGGACCAGCAGACTCTGAGTTGACTGAGCTCTGTGCAAGGGAAGAAGGTGCTTGGGTATGCTCAAGTCAGCTGCTCAAGCCATCTTTACATTCCACAGAGTTATCTGGGCTTCAACAGGAATGCCAGCCAGAAACCATCAGGATCCATTTGCCTCTGGGAGCTGAACATTTTAGAATGTCCACCACCCTTGCAGAGGGAACTGGAAGTCTAAAGCTCTGTAGGAAGTGATAGGACCATGACAAGGAAGTTGATGTTTATCCTCCCACTTCAAGATCACCAACTTTCTGTCCAGTTGAGAAAACCAGAGTGTATCCTTTTACATGTGTTGGGCCAATAGCATTTTGATACAGCCCCATGATTGTCATGGCATCCATGATGCCTGAAGCCTTCCTGGACAAAGCTGTCTCCGAGCAGAAATTAAGATTTTCCAGAGCCATCACTCTAGGGTCCTCAACACCAAGTCCAAGACTGCCTCCATCAGCTCAGGCGGGGAGTCTGATGGGTAGCAGGGTATCTTTAATCTGTCTTGGGTGTCCAGCACAAGGTCCAAGCACTCAAGAATGGCACTCAAGTGAACAGGAAGCCTAGAGAGGGGGGTCTTATTCCTATAAACTTCAGCCAGCTTCTCTTCCTGTTGGACCTTGATGCTAGTGCCAGGAAGTGACAACTTAGCAAGAATATTCCTTCCTGGCCCGCCCACCCAGTTCTCAGTGATGCAAGCCAGGTCTGCCCCCTCATCTTCAATCAAGTCATGATCAGGACTTATTTCTGAGTAGATGTCTATAGGTGTTCAGTGTAAGTGGCAGATACAAGCCAATATGTTTTCTTTCTCTTTTCTTTCTTTTCTTTTTTGCCTTTTACTGTTGGTGATGTGTGTGTTTTGCATTTGAGACTGAGATTATACATGAAAGGATCTTGCACAGCTTGTCAGAGCAGAAAAGCTTCTTGGAACCAATAGGCAGTGGAGTGGCAACACACAGTGGGCAATACACAGTAGAATATGCAATTTAAACTTATTATAGCCTTCAGGGCATTGGGTGGGATTAAATACAGTAAGGAAGAAACTGAGATGGGATATTCTTCAGTCACCTTGTAATAGGACATCTAGGTATGCCAAGGATCCTGTTTAACACATAGTAGGAAGCATTATTCTCTGCATGAGACACATTGTAGTTCATAACCTTGTGTTATACCAGAATTGTCAGAATTTATTTACTTTATTTATTTAATTAATTGTGCCACTACAATATATGGACTCTCTGTGCAGCTCACAATATAAAGAATTCTGAGAATACCTGTAGGAAGCTCATTGTGCATCCCTTTCAGCACTGCTGGTCCTAGGAGCTGGGACAATGGTGGCATGCCAAGGAATCATGCTATGAGCGTTCCCCATGCGATCCTGGGCTTTAGATATTACTGGCACAAGTTGCAATAGCCACATGGCTGAAAGGTAATAGCAGGTCATCCCAGCAGAGCTAATATATTCACAATACCTGATTCATGAATGTGAATTTGCACTGAAAGATGACAGCAAAATAAAATGAGAATTTATGTTCTGATAAACACAGGAATCATATAAATTCATAGAGGCTGGTGTTAGTGTGTGTGTATCCTCTGCTACATATTTTTCTCTTCACCCTACATTCCTCTAAATGCTACTGGCCTAAAAGCTTAATTAATCATTGGGAAGGTTGCCATTCATTCTGACATTCTTAAGGCAGCAATCTTTCCTCTCCCCAGCTTGCAGATATGTTTCTGCTACAGAATAAATTACACAGCATTTCTACAATCTATGCCACTGGTTCCCACTTCTCAACTAGATAACTTTGTTTTTAAAGTCTTTTGTTATAGTAAGAAAAGGAACCCTTGTATCCCAGAGAGCTGAGATGATCAGTTACCTAACCATGAAAGACAATATTCTTTCTTGTTGCCAGTAGCTAAGCATTTCAACCATTTAGAATGGAGAAAATGTTGAACACAATCCCGGATTGAATTGGAAGAAGGGGTGTGTGAGGAGGGGGGTGGAGGAATCATAGCCATCTGGCGGATCCCAAAAGGCCAAAGTGGGACTATGGGGGTCTGCATTTGGCCCCCAGACCTGAGGTTCCTCACCCCTTCTACAATATTTCAATGAAAAGCAGGTATTCCTTTAATGGTTGGTTTGTATATTAGCGCATGTTACATTCACATACTCCCTCCAAACTGAGATGATGATTTTTTAAAAATTATTATCTTGCAGAAGCTGTTGGATGACCATGAAGCTCTGGATAATTACGTTAAGTTTGATGGGGGTTACTTGTGATGTACTACAGTTTGAACCATCTTTTCCTTCGGCCATTGGTTCTTGTAAGATGCTGTGTTCTTGTGAAGAAAAGGATGGTACCTTTATTATAAACTGTGAAGAAAGGGGCATCAAGGAGGTGTCTCAAGTACATGTTCCACCATCCCGGCCTTTCCACCTAAGTCTTCTAAACAACAGTTTGACCATGTTACATATGAATGATTTCTCCACCTTTATCAATGCTCTCTCTCTCCACCTTGGATTTAACTATATTGTAGATATTGAACCAGGAGCATTTAATGGGCTAAGTCTCCTGAAGCAGCTGCATATCAATCACAACTCCTTAGAAATACTTAAAGAGGACACATTTCATGGGCTGGAGAACTTGGAATTCCTTCAAGCAGACAACAATTTCATCACTATAATTGACTCAAGTGCCTTCAGCAAACTCAACAGGCTTAAGGTGCTCATTTTAAATGATAATGCCATTGAGTCCCTTCCTCCCAATGTATTCCGCTTTGTGCCATTAACTCATTTGGATCTTCGTGGAAATCAGCTGCAAACTCTACCTTATGTTGGCTTTTTAGAGCATATTGGTAGAATTCTAGACCTTCAACTGGAAGATAACAAATGGCTCTGTAATTGTGACCTACTGGAGTTGAAGAGTTGGTTAGAAAATATGCCTCCCCAGTCTATAATTGGTGATGTAGTATGCCATGGCCCTCCCATGTTGAAAGGCAACATTTTAAGCAGATTAAAAAAGGAATCACTCTGCCCCACTCACCCTACAAATGACCTTGATTCCCCATCAGGGTCATTGCCATTGGTGGTCACTACATCAGTGAGTAGTAGTCACTATTCAACCAAGGTGATACCTATATTTAAAGCTCCTACCAAGGAATCTAGTTTAATTCTTCATGTAACCAAACCGGCTACTCTACTTCCTGGAATATATTGTCCTGTTCCCTGCCAGTGTACTACTCTTATCATATCAGGTATTTTGATGCAATGCATGGAACAAAACATTGAGAGCCTTTCAGATTTAGGGCCTCCCCCTCCAAATCCCAGAAAGCTTATTCTGGCAGGAAATATAATTCAGACATTGATGAAATCAGATCTTGTGGACTATGGTACTCTGGAAATGCTTCACTTGGGAAACAATCGTATTGAAGTCCTAGAAGAAGGATCTTTTATAAATCTTACCAGATTGCAGAAATTATATCTCAATGGCAATCATATCACCAAGCTGAATCGCAATTTGTTTTTAGGCCTACATCATCTTGAATATTTGTATCTTGAATATAATGCCATCAAGGAGGTCTTACCAGGAACATTTAGTCCAATGCCTAAACTCAAAGTCCTCTTCTTAAATAACAACTTTCTTCAGACTTTGCCACCCCATATTTTTTCTGGAGTTCCTCTAGCCAGGCTTAATCTGAAAGCCAACCAATTTTCACATTTACCCATAGGGAATGTCTTAGATGATCTGGATCTACTGATACAAATTGAGCTGGAAGACAACCCTTGGGATTGTACTTGTGACTCAGTTGGGCTGCAACAATGGATACAAAAGCTGAATAGAAATGCAATGACAGGTGAAATTTTATGTACTTCTCCAAGGCAGTTAGCTAAAAAGGAACTGAGAACTCTGAGTAGTGACATGTTGTGTCCGGGCTTAATAAACAGCCCTGCCCTCCCAACTCATGCCAGCTTCATGATAGTCACAACATCACCCACCACTGCCAGCACAGCAGACACCATTCTGCGATCACTCACCGATGCGATCCCTCTTTCTGTTTTAATTCTGGGGCTTTTGATTGTGCTTATAATTATCATTTTTTGTGCAGCTGGCATTGTTGTCCTTGTTCTGCATCGAAGGAGAAGATACAGAAAGAAGCAGGCAGATGAACAGATGCGGGACAACAGTCCAGTGCAGCTTCAGTACAGCATGTATGGTCACAAAACAACACACCACACCACAGAGCACCCAGCTCTCTCCTTGTATGAACAGCGTATGATCACCCCCATGGTTCAAGTGTATCGAAGTCCATCTTTCAGCCCCAAATTTTCAGACCATCAAGAGGAGAGAAACAAGGATGGAAATGATTCCAAACATCTTCACAAAAGTCTCTTAGAAAGGGAACATTCCTCCCCTCTGACAGGGTCAAATGTCAAATACAAAGCCACAGACCAATCAGCAGAGTTCCTTTCCTTTCAGGATGCAAGCTCTTTGTACAGGAACATTCTTGAGAAAGAAAGAGAGCTTCAGCAACTAGGGATAACTGAGTATCTACGGAAAAACATTGCCCAGCTACATCCTGATATGGATGTACATTATCCAGGAGCTCATGAAGAGCTAAAGCTGATGGAGACACTCATGTACTCCAGACCAAGAAAGGTTTTATTAGAACAAACTAAAAATGAATATTTTGAGCTTAAAGCCAACCTGCATGCAGAACCTGATTACCTGGAGGTCTTGGAACAGCAAACATAAGACCACCACCATCTTTGGGAGGATCAGATAATAAACTCTTAGTTCTTTCTTAACTTGGAACTTTGTAAATAAAGTGCCTTATCATAATGTGTCATCAATCAGAACCTAAAGCACAGCAGTCATCCGAATAGAAATAAACTCTCAGGGATAACTGTGAAGAAGCCATGGGAAAGTTTGCAGGCTGTGTCTGGCACCCCGAACATTAAATGTGAACTGAATGTGACTAGATTCTGGAGGAAATTTAGTTTGTTTTGCCATATTCTTCCAGACTGCATGACATTCTCTCCCCTAAAAACAAGATTAAAACATTTGCTACTTCATTTTCCTTCTTTTATCTGCATCTTCCTCTAAATCAACTGTATACCTAGTTATAAAATCGAGTGTATATTGGTTAGGATTGGTTCACATAGATAAGCATTGCCTACAAATTGCACATAACCCTGACACATAATCGACACAAAGTAATATTATGATTTTTAAACTTAATTGTGTGCACTCAAGTTCTGCCAATATTTAAGTACCTTTTGTTTGGAATGGTATTTATCAGAAATCAGTGAGAATGTGTGGCTGGAGGGAGAAATTATATATACATTTTATACAAGAGTTTAAAATACATGAACAAAAGCATTTTGTTACTTTTCTTTTCTGGTGATTTTAATCACACGTTGGACATTTTGTTACTTTTCTTTTCTGGTGATTTTAATCACATGTTGGACATTTTGTTACTTTTCTTTTCTGGTGATTTTAATCACATGTTGGACAATCTTCTATATATTGCTGCTAAAGACTCCTGTGCACCATTGGTTTGGCACTTAGACCTGGGAAATTTGGAAAGCTACTGAGAATTTATTGTAAATATATTCTTAAATCAAAGAGCTGGAGTTTCATTATTATTATTATTATTATTATTATTATTATTATTATTATTATTATTAAATATGATTGCCTCCTGTTTTTATGGTGGATGATCTAGAGACTATAACAGTTTGCCATGGCCAGTAAATTACAAAGGCATACCAGAATACATATGAGTTATGAGAACTTACTTGTGCACCTGTGTAAATACTCTGCATTTGTCACAATTATACTTCAAAATAACTTTTTAAACAGGTCTGTCCAAAACATGACAGCTGACATGTAAAAAAGTCATACATACATACATGTGTGCCATTTATGACTAGCTGTATTTTAGTCACTGAAATCTATGCATTCAGTATTAGCACACTAAGGTTCTATGTGATCTGGGGGCATGCTATGCTAATGCTGTATATGTAGGTGCATGTGACCAACTGTACAATCCTATACATGTCTACTCAGAAGTAAGCTTTACTGAGTTCCATCTTGGCTAAGTATGTACAGAATTGCAGTCTAAGCTTAAATACTGTATTTTCTTTTTCATACCCAATGACACATTTAATCTGGGCCACAAACATGGCTTAATCTACAATCCTCACCATGCTGACATGAAAAGCAACTTCCATGAGACATGCCACATATCACATTGTATTAGTCCTGGACTGACTGCTGATTGCACACACAACAGGGAGTTAAAACCACTTCTGTTTTGTTGATAAATGTATCTGTGTTCTCAGATAAGCATTTCTTGCATTCAGTCATAGATAGCACTTTTAGATGTTTGCTTAAAGAATAAGAAACAATCCTTAATTTACACATGAAAAACATGTGAGCAGCCCAATAAAGTTCTGTAGGTAGATAGGTAGAAAGAAAGAAAGAAAACCAAGAAGACACACTGCTAAGAGAGTTTCTTAGGAACGAGGTGACATGAAGCATGACAACTTTATTTTACTACAAAGCTTAATTTTGTTTATATGACTTATTTATTCTGTACAGTTTGTATCCTTTTAAGTTCACACTATTATTCTTGTGTGCCTTTCAAGCAAATCAAATAACTTCTCATTCTAAATAAAAAGATGACAATAAAGGTTTTGCTTTTTTAATGCTGCCTTTTCTGAAAAGTTCCTTTTTTGAAGAATAGAAAGACATTGGCAAGATCTGCACGCACTAGTTCAGATCCATTCAGAAATCAATTGGGAGGCTTCTGTCTGTTGTCATGCATACAGAAACATCATGCTCTGGATGCAAGAAGGCAATTTAATACCCATGCACAAATGACACTGTGCCAAATCTGACCTCCAGTTCCCCTCGTACTTAAGTCAGCCTTTTGTGTACTGGCAACTGCTTGATAGATACTCTCCTTCTGTTCTTAATGGCTCTAACTATTTACAACTGAATTGATTTAACTGCATTGTGAAAAGGACACACATGAAGGCATGTATGCTTGTGCTCTCCTATAAAATTTTGACTTGATCCATTGCCGGAGGTCAGACTAGATGGCCTGGGAGACCCCTTCTGACTCGCTCTATTTTCTATGTTTCTGTGTTTCTGTAATCAAGAAAATTATGCTTCTGCAGGTTTGCCAAGTAACTGGTTGAGAGGTAATTTCTCTGTGACCTCATGACCTCCTAAATAAAGAGCTTCTCTGAAAGGAAAGGGATATTTGCACCAGATACTTCCTTCATGCCATTTGGTGCTATGCTACAATGTTGTCCAAAAAATGGAAACTTTGATTTATTTATTTAAGACATTTGTATGCTGTCCTTTGTGAAAGCCTCAGGACGGCTTACACAAATAAAATTCCAAAATAGATAACAATATATAAACAGCATAAAACATTCCGCAATATATCCTCGCTTAACTAATAAAAGTAATGAAAATAAAAATGCAACTGTATATAAATTAGCAATATCAATAAAATAATGTTAGTTGTTAAAATGGAGATTAAATAAAAAGGTCTACCTGGTGCCAAAAGGAATAGAGGGTTGGAGCCAGGTGGACTTCTCTGGGGAGCATGTTCCATAGTCTGGGTGCCACCAGAGAGAAGGCCCTCCTCCACATGGATACCCTCCAAACTTCCCTCAAAGAAGGTTCCTAGAGTAAGGCCTCCCCTGCTGATCTTAAGGGGCATGAGAACATATAGGGGAAGAGACGTTCCTTCATGTATCCAGGACCCAAGCTGTTTAGGGCTTTATAGGTAAGTACCGGCACCTTGAATTGGGCCCAGATTTCAACTGGGAGCCAGTGAAGCTGGTAGAGGACTGGTGTTGTATGAGAATAATGGCTAGTCCCTATCAGCAGCCTGGCAGCTCTATTTTGCACCAATTGAAGTATCTGACCATTTTTAAGGGCAGCCCCATGTAGCATGCATTACAATAAGCCAACCGGGAATTTACCAGGGCATGGCTCACCATTGCTAGGCAGTGCTCGTCCAGGTAAGGACGCAGCTGTTGGACCAGCTGAAGCTGTAGGAAGGTGCGCCTCACCACCGCTGTCACCTGGGCCTCCAGGGGCAGTTCTGGGTCGAGGAGCACTCCTAAGCTGCAGTCCCTGTCCTTTTAGACCCATACTCCTGCTGGGTTGAACTATCTTCTTGATTCTTGCATTGAATCTTCATTACTACACTTGAAACGATAAACTCCCAAGAATAAATAGCAGGAAAATGAAACAATATAACTTGAGATTCCCTTTATGGTGATGTGATACAGTAGGTGCAGACTCTCTTTCAGCCTGAGAGCCATTTTTCTTTTCCTGTTTTTGGCAGAAGCTCTCAGGGGTCATGTTCCAGTTACTGGTAGAGCTGAAGGCAAAGGGATCTAGTCCAAAGAGCCCAGATGCAAAAAGAAACAAAAAGTTTATTGTACCTTAATTTTACTGTCAGTACCAAAGCCTTTGACACATTGCACGAAAGCTGAGAAACAAGCAAATAATCAGTGTTGGGGAAGAGGAGGTGGCTCCAATTTTGCCACCTAGAAAACCCCAGAAGGCCAGCCCAGGAGGGCAGGATTTGTCCACCTAGCCCTGGGGTAACCCAGCCCTATGATAGAGGCTCAGAACACATGCAACCCTTACTATGAAGGTGACAATATAATATCACCCTGTGGTGAATCCTACACATGTAGTTAGATGCAATTATGATGGGGAGTATTTCTAAATGGCCCAGTAGGAGATTTGCTACCTGGGTGTAGTTTTAGTGCTATTCTCTTAGCAAATGTGAAATGTGACCAAGCCATCAATTTATTAAAATTGTTTCAGCAAAATTAACCAGCTTACAAGAACAACAACTAGTTAATGAAATAATATTCTCACTTCCTTTGGCATGACCCTATTGAATTTGGTGCAAATTTCTTCTAAGCACTTTCATAGTATTAAGTGTAAGGATGACCTAAATAGAAATGTTTGAGTTTGCTGAATTTCACCCTGTGGCAGCTATTTTCATTTATGACTTCATCATAATTTTTTACCTCGATGGGAAAAGCGCATATTTCCATGCATATCTGTCAAAAGTGCACTAAAATGCATGAAATGTACATTAAAATGCACATGGTAAAATACATATTTTTCAAAACATTTATTTTTATAATGCGACCATAACTTCAGTCATTTGAAAACTTTTCTGGATAAAATGCACTCCCATTGACAGTCAGAATTACAAGTGGGCAGGTTTGAATGTTTTGCAAACTTAAATGAAATATTTGCACATACCTAATTGTGCCAAATGACTGCAAACCTAAAAGTACTGACATAACAATGAATGCAGTGGGACTTCAAATTAAAGTTGCTTAGTTGAACTGTTGATTTGAGGAAGTGGTGCCTTTCTGAAAACATTTTTTTCTTCACTTCTTGAAAACTTCCAGTTGTTTTAAACACTACACACATATTCCTGTCTACTTCAAAGATTGCTTTGACCCTAAACAAATGAAACCCAATTCATAATGGGTTACTGATGCATAAGCAGCTCCTAAGGGTAAATGTCTGGGATGATGATAGCTCTCTTAATGTGATCTTATAAAATAGAATTAAGACTGAATCATACTCAGAATTTCTTCTAAGGACTTGCACAGGCAATGTATTTACATAAAAGCAGAACTGTCTGTATTTATTGACTGTTTGTCACTGCCAAAATAATTTTCCAGATAATTATT